CTGACTAACACTAAGAAACACGAGATTTATATGAATGAATGTATTGACAGCATTTTTCCTCATCATTTGTTTTTGGAAGAGTGCAAGCGATTGAAGACGCAGGAGGACAAGGATAAACTTAAAAGTATTTATGCCGACATCTTTGAGCATGAGTTGTCTCTACATGATGTCATCAATAAGTATTTTAAATATACTGATGACATCGCAGGAACAGAAAGCAATGTCGCATATTTAAATAACACTTGTAGAGAGGTTTCAAGGCAGATCAGAAAACGACAGGGCAAACAAAATGAGTTTGAAGTCGGCGAGATCATGATATGCAGAGAGTATAGGAAGACAAAAACCTATAAGTTAAATGTGAATTTTAGGTATGAGATAATTAATATTTCCGATCCTTGGATTACCATTGCTAATATCAAAACACGAGAAGAGATTACGCTAAATATTGGTATCTTGAGAAGTCATTTTATCTTTGCCTTCTGTTATACTTGTCATTCTGTTCAGGGGTGTTCCATTGATGACGATGTCGTGATATTTGATTGGAACCATCATCTGATAACTCGCGAGTTTTTATGGACTGCAATCACTCGTGCCAGGGATTTGAACAGGGTCAAGTTTTACAAATACAGTAGTGATTTAAATGAAGAGTTTAACGCAAAATGCATTATGAATTATTTTGATAGAAAGGTGTTAGCATACAAGGAACAGGATAGGAAAAACAAATTTGAGATCCCAAAAGACAATTATGTGGATGCCGAATGGTTGAAGGACAATGTCAACGGAAAGTGTGCAAATTGTGGCTGTGGTTTCGTGTTGTCAATGGATTCTGGTAATATAAATTCTAATCTGACTTGTCAAAGGTTATGTAATGATCTTCCCCATACAAAGGATAATGTCATTGCCTTCTGTGCTTCTTGCAATAGATGCTTCAGTGATAAAATAACATATTGATATTTATTTTGTAGTATTATATATATGAGTGAGAAAGACAAGACAATCAGTGAGATCTACTACGATCAGGCTGGGTTTGGTAGCATCGCCACCACTTACAAAGATGCAAAAAAGAAAGATGCATCCATAACAATGCAAGATGTCAAGGAGTGGTTTCAAGAGAACGTGGAACGGAAAAAACAACTGTCTGGATACAATTCGTTTATTGCCCCTGATATCAACTTTGAATATCAATTGGATCTGTTTTTTATATCAAAAAATGATTTAGATAATCAAAAATATAGGATAGGCTTATTGCTTATTGATGTATTTTCCCGCAAAGCCGTGGTGGTGCCTATTGCATCCAAGCAACCTGCCGACATCACGGCTGGGATCATGGAGGCATTAAACAAAATGGGAGGGAAACCCAAATTAATTTATTCGGATGACGAGGGGAGTCTCAATACCCAAGATCTTGTCGATTTTTTCAAGGACGAAGGGATCCAAAACTATAAAACACGAGGGCACCCCCATTTCGCCGAGCGTTTCATTCGCACGTTCAAGGACATGCTTTTCAAGAGGGTTGATGCAGACGAGAAAAAGGGAAAGGTTAATATACAATGGGTTGATTATATCCCCGAGATCATGCTGACATACAACAGTAAAATGGTTCATTCTGCCCACGATATGACTCCAAACGATGCCCACAAAAAGGGAAACCATCTTGAGGTCAAGATGAAGCTTGAGATGAACAGAATCAAAACCCGTAAATATCCCCCTGTTAGGGTTGGTGATGAGGTCAAAATATACCGCAAAAAAGGGATTTCCGAGAAAGAAAGAACGAGTTCATGGTCAGCAAACAAGTTCACAATTGAAAGGATTGAGCGAAAACTTGGACAAGACTATTATTATGTCCAAGGTGTGACTCGTGCTTATTTGAGATCGGAAATTCTGAAGGTTTGAAAAATAATATCTAAACGGTTCTAATAGCTGATGAATCTATTAGAACTGTTTAGTGGGACAGGGGTCGGTCGGCCGCATCGCCCGCGATCTGGGGTTCAATGTCATTTCACTGGATTTGAAAAATGCTGATATAAATACTGATATTTTGAAATGGGATTATAAACAATTTGATAGGAACCATTTTGATTTTATTTGGAGTAGTCCCCCATGCACTGAATACAGCAAAGCAAAAACTACAGGAATTAGGAATATTGAATATGCTAATAGTATAGTTTTAAAAACTATTGAAATTATCAAATATTTTAATCCTAAATATTTTGTAATCGAAAATCCCCAAACTGGATTATTAAAAAGTCAGGAGTTTATGAATGAGTTTGATTTTAAAGATGTAGATTATTGTAAATATGGAATGCCTTACAGAAAGAGAACTAGGCTCTGGAATAACATTACAACATGGAAACCTAGAGATTTATGTAAAAAGGATTGTGGCAACATCAGGAATAATAAACATATTGAAACTGCGCAGAGACTGCCAAATGGAAACAAGAAAAAATGGGGAGACAATCCAAAAATACATAAGCAGGAAGACCTATATAAAATACCTAGTAGTTTAATCAGTGAAATTTTGGTGAGTTTGGTTGGTTAAATAATTTGGGGCTGACCACTGCCGGAAAAAGCCCCTTTTTTAACATACACCGCTTTTGGTGTATGCGTACACCGCTTTTGGTGTATGCGTACACCGCTTTTGGTGTATGCGTACACCGCTTTTGGTGTATGCGTACACCGCTTTTGGTGTATGCGTACACCGCTTTTGGTGTATGGTGTTTGTGATAATATTTGTCAATGTATGATATGTGATAATTGCAATAAAATTATAAACGAAATTGATGACATGAATAGCAAATATATTAATACTAGAAATGTTAAAAATATTGATGAAGATTTAGAAATATTTGTGTTTATTAAAATGAATAAGTTCTTGACTGAAGAAGAGTTTGGAAATTTATTATATAAGGGCGATGAGGAAGGAAATGATAATGATTCTATTTTGAAGTATTATAATCTGGTAAAAAGATTATATGGTATGTCTTTTAATATTAGGCGTTTAATGAAAGAAGCATTGAATGATAATGACTTTGATTTTTTAAGTTGTGAGTATGATGTAGATGAACTTAGTTATACAGTAACACATGCAACTAGAACAATGGGCTTGTTTAAAAAGGAAATAGGAAATAATATACATAATGAAAAAACAGCTGATAAAATGATAAAAAGAATTGAAGAAGAATTTTATAATGAATTATAATAAAGTTGAACTCATAATATAATTATAACATGTAAACATTTATATGTTATAATTATAGTGTAATTTTCCCGCATAAGCCGTGGGGGTGCTTTCCTACATAGGCCTTTCCCATCCGCATTTTGCCATCCATATTTTACTGGGATTGTTTTCAAGATTTGGGTTAACGGTTTTAATTCTCCCTTTTCCATTGGTTAACCATTTTTCGGGGAGTGATAATCGACAATGTGTTATTTGGATGGGAAAGGTTGGGTTTATTCATTTTTTAGGTATGTAATCTTGAAAGATCATTTAAGGACATGTATTCATAGCATAATATGGAGAACTCAGAGTGTAGCAGTTGTAGAGTCAATAAACCAATTACTGAATTTAACGGGTTCAAGACATGTAATAAATGTAGAGCGAAGAAGCGAGAGAGGACAGCGAATAATGGATATGTGTATTGTCATGTTTGTGAAAGAAGAGTGAACCCAGAGATTTGGGATTTCCATTTGGTTGGAGGTTGTCACCAAGATAATATGCTCAAACATCTCAAAGCAGATTATCAGAGATTAGTTGAAGACGCACCTACACAAGAATTCAAGGACAAATATTTTCAAGAAGGTCAAGAGAGGATACAAGAACTCAAAATGACAATGCCTTTGTATAATCCAGCTTTGAGAAGAAAGAAAGTTGATCAGGTTGATGGTGAATTGGACTAAAACATGAAGTTGATCATTAGAATATTATGTTTCTAATGATTAACTTAGAGGGTTGTTCAATTTGGTGGTTTTGAATGGTGTAATTTGATAGGTGTATTTAAAAAGTGCTTGAAAGTGTGGGGGGGGGGTAGGACAATGCGGACGGGAGAGGCCATCTCTAACTGTATGGTGGGTAAGTTGGGGAGAAAACAAAACACCCACGCCCCTGCTCCCACATCCCTTCTGTCACAATGCATCTGGCGATGGTCAAAACTATGGCCCTTTTTGGACCCTGCCGCCCAAGGTGCCGCTTCTTAAAGGGGATACAAAAACAAAACAAAAAAACACATGGCCATGGGTCAAAATCCCGTACCCCCAGTGAACATCCCAATCTCCACTAAAATAGACTAAAATGGGTGGTGCACCTACTCCAAAATGGTAGCATTGGTTGTGACCCACAGCCATATGCCACTCACAAGCAAAGAAACCGGGCGCCAACTGTGCGTCACCGGGCCAACAGTGCGTCAATGGGTGATTCTCGAAACTGGGGACCCCCATTTGGTCGTGTTCGACATCAACCAAGCGGGGTATCAAAATAGGGGCAGCCCAAAATGGTGGTATGTAGCCTTTTGGCTTCCCTTCAACCCAGGGTGAACGGAGTGCTTGCACCAAAGCACACACCCACAACTTTGGCTCCTGATCAACAAACTCCCCACTTCCAGGGCTGCCCAAAAATCCCAGGTTTCTTCCAGGGCCGCTCCGCGCCACTACCCTATCTGGGTATAGTTGTCCGGTGTTGCGTCCTTTTCGCGCTGAAGATTGGCAACCCCGGTTGACCGTCGAAACACCGTTTCAACCCGGGTTGCTCTGATCAAACTCACCCAATGGAAGGAAATGACCCAAAAACCGACTGGTCGAAAAAAAACGCGGCGCCCTGCTACCGGACTCACTTCCCCCCCCCCTTCTCTGAAAATGGGCCCTGAGTCTGGCACCTCAAAGCGGCATCCCTTGGCCACGGCCACCATTCCGGTCATCGACCTGACCAAAAAAAATCGCGCGCGGCCCGCGCGACGCGCGCGGAACGGGCGCGAAGATTCGCAAGATGGCCTCGGAGTGTGACCACTTTAGGGTAGAGCCGGGTAGAGCCCCGTGCTCAGCCGGGTGGCGCCGTTGGTTCCTCTAAAGGCTCCGCCCCCGGCTTTTGTCCAAAAAAATGGTTGGTCTTCCTCCAAATGGCACTGGACGGCTGGATATCTTGACCAAACCACATGTCCTTCACAACGAGGAACACTCAAGAAGTCTCCGTCCAGTTGCTCATAGCCATCCAGCACTTGGCAGATGTCTCCAATTCACATCAGATGTTGGTGAGTAAGTTGAGGTTCGTTCATGCCTCAGAGCCACAAATCCCACCGGGATGCGCAACAGCATTGGACCCTGGGTCACGTGCGCGAATGTCTCCTCTTTTGGGGTAAGTGTGACAAAACATAATTTTGGACCTTGCTATTCTCATCCTTGGGGTACGTGACAAAACCGAGAATTTTGGACCCCACAGAACTAGGCCTTGCTGTTCTTTCTGGTTTCCCCTCAAACCAAGGTGAGCCTTTGGGACCTCCGAGCCGCTTCGTGCATCTCTTGCCGAGGGGCACGTCAAGGCTGGTCACGGTGTGGCCATGCGTCCTGGCAGGTTCGCGCGAGATCTCGCGCCCGTCACTAGGGCCACCCCATGTGTGTTGGGTTGTTTGGATGTCCTTCCCCCTCCAAACCCTGGCTTTGGCTCCAAAGTCAGAACTGTACGATTGGCAGCTGGGCAAACAACATTTGTCACCACCGGAACCAAAGAACTAATAGAACAAAGAACAACAGAACAGCATGCCAAGCACAGTGAGAAAGATTTCTGGCCTCATTGTTGTTACCATCATCCAAGTCACCCAAGTGCTGGGTTGAAGGGAAACAACCACCCCCCGTTTTCTGACTTTGACCCCCCAGTCCAAATCATGACCCCCCCGCCGGATAAGAGGGTCGGTCGCATGGCCTGAAGGAGTGCAGAGCCTTGTAGGTCCGCAGATCCCACACCTGTCCCGTGGACCGGAAGCGGCTGTCGAGTTGGCGACCTTGTTCGGGGGGTTCAAGGGAAACCTGGCTGTTGTTTTTCCTTCTTCTTTTTTGGGGGGGAGGGGGGGGGGGTGGGGCCACGCGCATTTTTTGAGATATTGCCCAAGGCGGAGTCGGTGACTAAGCAAGAAAGAAACCATTCTCGCCCCTTTGGTCGTTTTCGATCCCCCTTTAAACACCAACAGGGCACCGTTGCCATTTCAGGACATGTATCGATTCCGATGCTAGGAGAAGCCCGCATGCCAGGCTCAGCTCCTGCCGCGCGCTCGCAAGAATCCGGCCTTCCACTTAGACTCAGCTCCCGCGGTGACCTGGGGCTTAGCAGAAGCTGGAGGGCTGTCCGCACAAATGGGGGGCAACCCTCTCCTTAGGTTTCTTTACCCTGAAAAAGTGGGTAAGGGGCGGCCAAGATGAGGTATCTACTCCTGAATAAGTGGGTTGGTACGGGGCTCCAAGAATGCCAAGATGTATGAACATCTACTTCCACCCTTAGACAAAAGGAATCCGCCATTGGGGGACCCCTATTTTAAGACCAAAATGCTCGCCGTAGAACTCGTCTGAGCGTCTTGCCATGTAGTTGTCGCTGACTGCAAGAGCCATCACCTGCGAATGGTTTCGCACAGCAAAGCCAAGCTGAGCGTGACTGGCTGAGGGTATCTGAATTTGGGGGGTGGGGTTACCAATGCAAGAGAAACCAAATGGGTGTGGGTCAAATTAAACCACCAGGGAACCACAGGTTTTACTCCTTGGTTCCGTTTACAAGGGTTCCATTCTGGGTACCCATGTTTGACCCGCAGATCTCCCGTTTTTGTGACCATCTCAAAACCAAAACAAAAAGCGCCTGCGCATTCTGACAGCCCATCTTGACCACAGGCTCCTTGACGTTCCTTGCAGCACATCCGCAATGTTCATAGAATCCACCCCCCAACCTCACAACCCGGCTCCCCTAGTTTCCTGCAAACGAGGCCTCAATACAGCCTTGTTTAGGGACTAGCTCTTGGAAGATGTGCAGGGGGCCTTATTCCGGCCTTTGAGGAAACAAGGGAGCGGGGTCGGGTGAGGGGGGATCGTATGATAGCTGCACTCATGCTAAGCCAGCGGCGGAGCCCACATTGAGACGACGCCCTGCACAGATGCGCCAGGCTTGACATGGATCTAGTTCTACCGGTGAGGCTAACTTCGGATGTCAACGAGCGCAGCATAGGGGACGCAGTTCGTGCGAACATAACCCCAGGGTTTAGGACGGTTCATCTGACTGGCAGGGCCCTCCGTGTTGCATGCGACGTGAAATCCCGCTCTTAGCTCCCCACTCTATTGTGGCCCACGTGCATGATGCCATTCTTGGGATTCTGCCGTAGGCACCTGACAGAAAGATGCCTGTAGCTGAATCAACCTACAGTCAACCTACCTGCAAGTTGAAAAGAGCAAAAACGTTGAATCCAGCGGTGCAATCCTACTCCAATCAACATCAACTCGAAAGCATGCAAATGAACGATGGCAGTACCCTAAACAAAGAAAATGCTCAAAAGGGCCAAAACCGAAGCCCAATTCTAAGCGTTCAATCGCGGCTCAAAGTCCCACCACAACTGCGCACCCCTGCAGCACGCGCCCCAAACGCTATATACTTAATATGCTACATATACATATATATATATATATATCATACTTTTCGTGTGCTCACACACCTAATCATTTGGATGTATTGTTGTTGAGGCGCAAACGCATGCGGGCACCCTTATACCCTTGATCATTTCCACTGATCCTTGCATCGGTGGGTTCCCTGTGAATTGCTTTCTTGAACCATCCCAATCCGGGATTGTTCCCACTCAGCAGGATTGAGTCTAGAATGATCCTCAGCATCAATCCAAAGATTGCAAGGAAGTGTGCCACCTACTTTCACCAAACCACACACACCCATGAAACAAGGTAGAACCACCGCCAAATTGCCTGACTCTCGCTCCGCTTTGCGGACGATTTCCTTCTTCGCTCCACACTCCCGGGAGCAGTACGTGGCAGGGCCCAAATGCATCTTGTGCTCGGCCACCTGAGTCGAGAAACTGGGACCCAACCATGAGGCTCGGGGTGATCAAAGACAGGGCTCGGGGTGTGTGTGTGTGTGTGTGTGTGTGTGTGTGTGTGTGTGTGTGTGTGTGTGTGTGTGTGTGTGTGTGTGTGTGTGTGTGTGTGTGTGTG